TTTTTTATATTTATTTAATTATTTTTCTAGACACAACATAAACATATCTCAATAAAGTTTGATGATCGTGATGGCATTGCATTCATAGATAAAGCTGATGCAAGTTCTTTTACAAATCCATGTGAATCAAATAATTTAACAAACGAATCAAAACGGTCAAATGTACAATTAACATTACAAGAAAGTTTAACCATGCGAAAAAAAAAGTATAATGTAGATTCTAAAAACAATACAACACAAGGTTGGTAAATTAAAAATTTTATAATTAATAATTTAATTAAGCGTCAGTTAAATGTTTATTGACTAATTTTTTTTCAGCTGATTTGGATAGAATGATTARAAAATTGATCCTTAACCAGTGATTGCCATTTTCCTTGGTTGAATATCCTGAATTTAAATCTATTTTACAAATAGGATATCCAAAATTAAACATATTGAGCMGTCCAACATTAATGAAAAGGATCGATTCTAATGCAATTTYCATGTTAAAAAATTTGAAAAGAGAATTAAGTTTGGTCAAACATATTTCTACCACAGCTGATTGTTGGTCAATTTTTAAAAAGTTAGTATTCACAAAAATAATAGATATTATAGTCTAAAACTCTAAACTCTATATAACTATATATACTTACCTATAATATTATGTATTTAATATCTATTCAATATTGTTAAATAATTCGTCTAGAGTTCTACATATTCTTAAGTTTTACAGAAAGAATGTACCTTAAAAAAAAATGATTTCAGATCCTATATTAGTATAACTGCGCATTGGTTGAACAAAAATGATTTATCAAGAGTTTCGTGTCTACTTGCAATAAAGCGTTTAAAAGGAAAGCATACATATAATGTTTTAGCAAAATCCATGGAGTCAGTTTACACAGAATTTGACATCAATCATAAAATTACATATTCTACCACGGACAATGGTTCCAATTTTGTTAAAAGTTTCAAGTTAGTTTTTTTATTTAGTAGTATTTATTTGAATTTGTTCCCTAGATTATATTCTTTAATAATTTATTAAATTTACTAGAATATATGTACAAAGCAAATTATGCTGTATAACTTATAAAGTTATAAGTATTAATTATATGTTATATGAGTAAAAATATTATCATATGTTACCTGTTGCTATAGTTAATGTTAAGTAAACTATTTTCAATTATAATTTTATAATTTTAGGGTATATAGTAAAAACGATAGTCAAAATATTTCCAATTTGGATTCTTTTGTTAATAATATTATTGATGATGGTTCTGATGATGAATATRAAATGCAAATTACAAATGATGAAGATAACTTAMAAGAGAATTATGGTGAAGATAGTAATGAAAGCATATCTGTGATTCCTGTTTTTGATATTTTGGAAGATAATGATTTGGATTTTGAAACTGATATACAGTATAGTTTGCCAAAACATCATCGCTTTGCAGCTCACACTTTAAATTTAATTGCCACTAAGGTGATCTTATGCAATTTTTATTAATTATCATTTTAATACATGGTAATACTGATAGTTATAATTTTTATATTTATTTTTTGCAGGATGCTGAAGTTGCTCTTCAGGATAATTTGTTTAAAAAGCAGAATAGAGCTACATTTGGAAAATTGCAAGCACTTTTTAATAAGCAAAGTAGATCTACCCAAATTGCTGATATAATAAAAGATTACATTGGAGTATATTTAAAGATGCCTAATACTACAAGGTGGAACTCTCATTATGATGCCATAAGATTCCTACTAACACACCGAAAATCAAGCCCTACTAAATTTAATGCCATGTGTGAATTGTGTGATGAACTTAAAATTGCCAGGGTTAATAATAACGATGTAGACTTCATGGAGGAATATTGTTTAGTGATGGAGCCACTTGCAATATCACTTGACATTCTACAGGTAATATTTTAATGATAAATATAATGGTAATCTATAAGGTTAAATTTTAACATTAATCTTCATAGATTTCAAGTTAAAACATTATTATAATATAATACTAAGTTAAGCCTTATTGGTGAGCATTGAGCTATAACTTAAATAGTTTAATATATACATTCTAATAATGTTTGTACTATATTTGTATGTAGGCATGCAGCCTAAGTTTTAATATTTGTCTAATAATTATTTTAGACAATTTTCAAAAAATATATTAGGTATATTTTTATACCTATACTATATTTTTAAATTGTCATTGTTATTTTTAATTGTTTTAAATATTTATTAGCCAAAACTTAATATTTTATGATTAAATTGTTATTAAGATTTTATACCTACTTATAGCTATTTTATCAATTCTTACTTGTTTGAATTCAATTTGTTTTCATAATTATCTTCACATTCTGTTGGAATTATTTTAATTTTAGTTTATTTTGTGTTTTATTTAGGGTGAGAACTACATKTATTTTGGCTATTTGCTGCCTACAATAAATGAATTGCTGAGTAAACTTGAAACTATGCGAAGAAAAGAGATTGTATATTGTCGTCAACCCTTGGTGACTGCATTATATGATGGTGTAAATAAAAGATTTGGGCCACTAGAAGAAAATAATTTCCTTATCATTGCAGCTGTAAGCCATCCTTCTTTTAAGACTGCGTGGATAAAAAATGAAGTTAGGAAAAATTTTGCCATTTCTCTATTAAAAGATGCTATGTGTGAAATGAATTCTGGTACAGTCGACCAAGTTGATAAAAAATTAAATGATGAAAAATCAAGTACTTCTGATAGTGATCAAGACGATAATAATGATTCGTTTTTTCGTGGGCATCTACAAAAAAAAGTAAAAATGTGATGATTGAAAATGAAATTGCTGATTTTCTTAATAAGAGTCCTACTAAAAAAATTAATGTATTAAATAATACTTAAATTTTAAAAAGAGTTTTTATGAAATACAATACTCCTCTTCCCTCAAGTGCACCAGTCGAAAGAATATTTAGTATAGGCGCCTGTGTTTTAACAAAAAAGAGAGGAAAGATGAGTGATTCAAATTTTGAAAAAACAATGTTATTAAAAAGTAATGCAAAATTTTGTAAAGATTAACAAAATAATAATATAAATAATTTATTAAAATATGCAATGGTTATTATTTATTCTGTAATTATTACAATTGGTATATTTTTTTCCTCTAAATAGTCATGTTATTGTATTTTTTTAAGTAGTTGAAAATTTAAATCTATGGTAAGTAGTAACATAAAGGTACTTACACTGATATACAATCAGTGGTGTAGATATGATTTTTTTCTGGTGGGGGATTGGCTTTAATATTAATATATGTATATTATACAATTTAAAAAAAAATACTTGTATTTGTATTCAAATACTTTGTGAGTATTCGTAAAATACATTTTTATAATAGTATTTTAAAACTATTTTTAATACTATTTTTAATACTATTTTATTCGAATACCAGTATTAGTATTTTAATACTTTTTTAAAAGTATTTTTTACAAGACTGCCGTCCATGTAATGAAAAACGAGCAGACACGTTCGATCGTTTACCCCACCACTGCAGGGCAACTATAATGCCATGTACTGTATAAATGTATAATAATACGACGTACTTACCTATTACCTTTACGTGTATAATACATTATTTTTTTCAACAATTATTAAATTAGGAATCAATAAAAACAATTTAATATCATTTWTTTTTTTTTAATAGCAAAACATTATAAGACGTATTAGTATAGTATAGGCACTCTAATATATATATTATATATTTAAGAAATAATATAATACTTATCATTACTATACGTCATATAATATAAAATACTAATGAAAATATTTATTATTCCCTTTAAAAATATTAATAACATATAATTTAACATTCATTTACATATCATATTAAAATAAATTACATTCAAATTATAAATAAAAGTATAAAAACAAATMAAATACACTCAATGAGTAGTTTTAAAATAGTTTATATATTGTTAAATAAAATTAACTTAGTTAATTTCTGCCTTAATGACGATTTATTTTTAAATAATTGTTTAGAGTTTATTTCTTTGGAATAATGGCGCATTCTTATATTAACAAAACATTGACTTAGTGCAGTGAAGAGGCTATACTCATGACTTGGGAAACCAATATCAACAGTAATGGGGTGTGAATTTGGGGAAAAAAATAGAGTACTTTTGTTCAATATATTTTTTTTTGCTAACATCACAATGTTTTGTTTCACATTGCTATGTAAATTTTTATTTATAACAACAACCGCTTGAAAAGATTTTTCAAGCTCTTGAATAATAAGTGATACACCTGATGAAACTATTTTCAATTTCCTCCGATTTACAAWAGATGTAAAATCTTTTGATGCATCTTTTACATGGCTATGATCTRTTGGATCACTTTTTACTAATTGATCTATACAGTAAGGACACACAACTTTTATGGAAATATTTTTTACAATATACCCAGCAATATAATCAAGTATTTCATTAGTATATTCTATTAACTGTATATTTGAAAGATTATCTAAATAATTATCAATTCCTGTTTCATCTAAGTTGTCGTCAGATTTTATAATACATCTTTTTTCAGAACGGAAATCTAAGGCATCACCACCAGGAGTAACAAAATTTGAACAATTTCCACTTTCTACAGTTATATTTTTGGTAAATAACAATTGTCTTAGTGTTTTTTTAAACTTTACATAATTCGGATTATTATTTGAACCTCCTCTTGAACGAATACAACCAAAAAAAGTTCGATATGATCTTGGGACATTTTGTAAGTAAGAATATATTTCAGGGGACTCTGAGACCTACCAAGGAGCTTATAAGCAATTTCCAAAGTACTCGTCATGGTTACGATGAACCCTATAAAAAACATTTTTCTTCCACTTAATATCAGTGGAATGCCATTAAACTTTAGAGTTTTTAAGTAGTTGGTAGTGTCAGTGAATACAGATTTTATGGTATTTATATTTCCAGGATGAATGGGACTTTTATACCCTTTAGAAAAAGGTATTCTTGAATTAAGTATATCAAATAGACGATMAATTTGTCTAATAAAATACACGGCAATGCCTATAATTATAAACCTTTTCTCGTTCTGTTAAATGGTTGCGTCTGGCATAAGGTTTCATTAAATATGGTAGTAACGGAAAAGCATCGTCTCCCAAAATCACARAATCTGTTGGTGTATCCAACATGTGTTCTTCTATTGCCTTTTTTAAAGTAGATTTGGCAAATATACCACCATCAGAATTGCTTCCACAACTACCAATATCTATGCAAGTGAAGTTATAATTATGATCAACCAGAGCCAATAATACAATACTGAACGTCCCTTTATAGTTGAAATAGTTGGACCCGGAATTTGCTGGACATTCCATAACGATGTGTTTACCATCAATTGCCCCGATGCAGTTGGGGAAATTCCCCAATGAATTAAAACCATCCATTATTTTGTTCCATTTAGATTTCTCACGTGGAACCTGAAAAATGATATTATAAACTTATTTTTGCTCATTCTAATATATTGCTCCTATTTAGTTCACAACACCACCTTCAAACTGTTCAAACGATGCTGAAACAATTGTTGGTGGCACAAATAACAATGCTAATCTATAGCTAAGGATTGAAAATTTAAAATAAGGTTCCACTGCTCGTATACATGTTATTCCGTCACCTAAAAATGTATATAAAAATTATAAACACARTAAATTTTTTCAGACATTATAAGCTCATATTTGGATGAAATTACATATTAAAATTAAGAATAACATTTTTAGTWATTATGTTATAATAACTTAAAAATATTATTCATGATGGGTATATGACTTTTTTATAGAGTGTATATTATTATGTTTTATACACGTAACGACATTTTCAAATGTTTTTTTTTTTTTTGGTAAAAATGAATTTAACCTACTGCAGTAGGTACTAATGGTTAATAGTAAAATAAATTTGATCACAATGTTAAGTATATCATCAAATAATATATAACCTATCTAATAATAATGATATACTTTTATTGAAAATAAGTTTAAAACTTTCATGAATTAAGTAATTGAGAAATATTTGTACCATTTTCCTCCATAATATGATATATTGATATATAATATGGCATAATAATATAATGCTCCATAATATGGAACATAAGAAATTTGACAATACGTTGAAAATAATGATTATGTGCCTATAGTTTTGTTATAAGCAGACCACATACCAACTACAATATAATTATCGAATTTAAAAAATCTTTATTTGAAAATGTAAAAAGTGTATTCAATTTTAATATGTATATATATATATATAGGACGTAGATATACGTATTTTCCAAAAGTTCCATCATCCACTATCAATAATCTTTATGTATCTGAAATTTTGAACTGATCAACGATAGCTGTTCGGCGGACTAGCTGTAGTGGTGTACTATGTACACCTACGTCAGATGAGTGGGGGAGGGAGTGTTCAAGTCAAAGTCTATAAAAGGCCGTACAACAAATATTTAAAGCCTTTATTTTGCCAAGTTTATACTTGTACAGTTGTACCTACCAACCTACCAACCTATAATATAGTTATTCAGTTTTATTATAATAAATATTCAGAGATATTAATATTTTACTGCAGTTTTTTTAGTTTTGTTTACTTGTTGTCCACAAAATATTTCCAATAATATACGTGTAAGTATTTTGAAATTTTATATTAATAATATTTTATAAAACGCTTAATATCTATATTTAAAACATTAAAAAAATACAAATTCTTGACAAAGCTTTGATTAATTAATTAAATCTGACGCTTCGGTTGAAATTGTTATTTAAAAAAAAAATCTATTTGTTGGTACATAATTAATGTTAAATGTTAAGAATTATTTCACGATGTTATGATACTTCAATTTTTTAGAATGGCTACAATACATTTATCTTGCAAAGAAATATTTCCCGAAATTGAGATAGCATCAGCCRCTCTACAAGTTGGGGAGAAGTTGGCCACRGCGCATTGTGTTTCCGAAGATTTYCAAATGGGAAAGGGCATTGCCGTTAATTTCAAGTAAATACATTTCTATCTTGATTTTAAATCATACATACCTTATTWTCCAAAAATATGAATATACACCAGGCAATCATAATTTTTAATTTATATATATATATCTGTTATGTTTTAAACATTTTGAAATGTGCTGAAATAAACTGTACCAAATCTGTAAAATTCGTCATATTTAAAATAATAATAAAAAAAAATTAGGAAACTCGCATAGCTGTATAATAAATACTACTAAAAATTTTTTATGAAATTTTTAAATATATAAATATTTAAATACATAATTCATTTTTGATTTATATTAACAAAATTATTTTATTTTATTTTTTTAATGCAGGGTGAAATACGGAGCTCTCGGAGCCCTGATGGACCAAAAAGTCCGGGTAGGTGGTGTGGCGGAATTAAACCCGAGTGACAAGGGAGGAAATATTTATATTTTTTACCTCGTCACAAAGGTATTGTTCTACCACAAACCTACTCTTCAATCGCTGGCTGATTCGTTGCTCCAACTGCGGGATCGATTAAACGATTTAGAAATAAATCGGTTAATCGTTCCAAAGTTGGGATGCAATTTGGATCAGCTAACTTGGTATCAAATACGTGGCTTACTCTGTCAAACGTTTGATTCAACGATGACAATCATAGTTTGTGACCCTGAACACGTAAGAATACTTTATTATTTATATATATTTTATATATACATCGCAAATAACTTGTAAGAAATTAATTCACTATTGAATATTAAATATTTAATTTCATTTATTACAGCCAGAAATACTACCTAGTTCATCGATTAGCTCCTCTCAGGGAGGAGAACATAGATTTTTTTTCGGTCTCCTGCAACTACCGCCACCCAGGGGCAACTGAAGTACTGATACTACCCATAGATTTGGGTAGTGCCAGTACTGATGAAACATTTTTGAAATGTTTAAACCATTTTAACTTAAAGGCCGAGTAATTGAATTTTAAATATTATTATTTATTCATTTTAAATTCCTATATTTGGATTGTATATACGTGTAACTAAACATTTTCGTTTTAATATATTAATACAGATTAATGGATACAGGAATTTGGAGTACGTTACATAGAGGACAAGTCGTATCGCAATTTCTAAACGAAAAAAAATTAATGTTTTGGTTGTATGGAGACCATGGAAAATTATTTAGCACTTTGGAAACCCAAATTGATGAGACCTTACAGTTTTTGGGGCTCGATTCATCGATTTGGGTATTTCCAAAGCACGAAATGTTAAATTACCCCGGATTTTGTGCATTACTTAGGTCAAAGCTGGCAGACCATGCCCAAAAACCAAGCATCCTAATATGCAATCCAGATAAGTAAGAGTTTTTATCTATTATTTTTTTTAACGTATTTATTAATTAAATATATTATAATTTATACCAAAACATTAAACTAATTTCACTAATTTATAAACTGTTTAAGGTCAACGCAAACAATGGTGGCTGGAAAATGGCCGAGGGGCAGAGCTCGTCAACGGCCCTCACTTCAGTTATATACGCCCGGCCGCGGTGGTCAAGTTGGAGTAATACGTGGTCGTGGCGGGATATTGCGTGGCGGTGAGCTCCATGGACGTGGTGGACGTGACGGTGAGCTCTATGGACGTGAACACACTTCCACACCGTCCACAATTTATGAAGAGGCCCTAAGGTCAATTGTATCAGTTGGTTAGTTTCAATAATAAAATATTTAGGGCCGTTCTTACCAAGTGAGAGTTAATTTTTTTAACTTGACGGTTACCCTAACCTATAGGTTTGGTCAACTGGAGTATAAACCTATAACTTAAACTAATATCTTTCTCACAAACTTTTTAAACCTTCAGGTTTGGGCAACCTCTAGGTTAACACCAAAATTATAGTATTGATGTTAGTAACTATGTTTGTTATCACTTTTTTTCGTTGTTATCATTTATTTATTTATTCATTTCGTGTTTTTCTTTGATAACCGAGGTTTAAAAACTGTAAAATATTTTTTTAACTTTAATTTTGACAATATTCTTCAAATTTATTGTAATTTAATAAAATAAAAATAAAATATTATATTGATTTTTATTGAAATTATATAAATATATATTATTTAAATTAACATTATGGATAAAAGAACAAGARGACCCAAGTATGACGAAAGTCATCTTGTTGTTCCTTCTAACTTAGTCATCAAATATAAAGACATCATTGAAAATAAAAAAAGTGACCAAAACATATGGAAAACTAAAGATGTCACATGGAACAAAATCCAAAGCGAGTTTAATGCTCTAACTGGAATTGTACGTCCTGCTTAGTAAGTTCTAATTTAAAATACATACCTAAAATGTACAAAATCTTAGTTGTGTGTTTGTTGGTTATACTTAACCAATCATAATTAATTTTTTTAATACAGTTTTAAATTTTCAGATCATTAAAAGAGAGGTACGAAAAGTTAAAAAAGGATTCTAAAAAAGTATTGGCCTCAGAAAAGAGGGAAATTTTTAGTACTGGTGGTGGTATATGTAAAWAAATTCCCCGTTCTGAGGCAATAGACAAGATTATTTCTCTTCTTGGTATCTCTGGAGAGGGATTAAATAACCCATATGATGATGATGACATTGATAGTGAGTAAAAATTATCATGGCCTACTCATTACCATAATATATAACATGTCATCATAGTCTTAAAAATAATATTTTCTGCAGTTTTAATTTTTAAAAATTAGTTAAACCATTAATGAATAATTAATAATATTATTGAAAATCCTAACCTGACTCTGAACTAAATAAATATATTAATATAATAACAGCCATTAACAGGTTACCTTAAACTTAATAAGCAATTTTAGTTTTAATTTTAACTTATTATAATAAATATCGTTGTRGGTATTAAATATAATGTATTAATGTCAATCCTGATATTTATAATAACATAATATAATTCACACAATACTATTATTATCAATGATTGATGATATTTAAATTTTATTGAGTATTAATTATTGAATATACATTAACTAGATATTGGAATTGTTGAAGAAAATTTTGAAGAAAATGAAATACAGAATACTACTATATTTACAGATAATGAAATTAATAATATGGTATTTATAATTTTTCTGGATTTAATATAAATCATCCATCTTCAAAAATAGGTAGTAGATATCTAATACACCAATACCAGTAACATTTACCAACAATCAAGTGTCATTTTATAATAAAAAAAACCAATTTATATACGAATCGATTATTAACACACAAGCAAGCAAAGCCAGGTTATTCAACTAGTCTTTCTTATTATTTATACAATATAAAACTTAAACATGTGGATATCCTAGTTAAATTAAATTTTTTTTTGTCTTCAAAATGTTTCTAAATTCTTAATGCTTACCTATCCTAAATTCCTATTATGTTTTTGTTTTTATTAGGAGACATTTATTTTAAACGAGAATATTAACAATATTATTCCTAGCAATGTGGTAAATGAAGAAAATATAATCATATTGAATTCCTCTRTCATTGAAACAAAAAACCAAACTGATGTGGCTCAAAATGAATTTTCTTCCAATATTATTTCCACTGAAGATTGGAAATCTTGGTCTCCAGCTCAACTAAAAACACCAGTTAGTTCAAAATTAAAACAGGTAAGATGTGTCAATGATAGTTCTCAACCTCAAAAAAAAAAAAAGTATGAAAATTTAAAAGATGAAGTAAGACAGAATACAATTGATTTGATCATGATTAAAACTCAACTAGCTAAAGAAGAGCTTGCATATTTTTTTTAAAAAAAGGAAAATGATGAAAAATTGTTGTTTGAGCTAGAAATAGAAAAAAAAAATTAGAAATACTCAAGTTAAAATCTGAAATCAAGTCTGATGATATAGTATAGTATAATGATAGTATATTGTTATTATTGTTCTTGATTAATTTACTTATTTCACTATTAATATTAATTATGTTATGTATTTTCTAAAAACCTATTAATTTCTAATAATTTAATTAATTCGTTTTTAATTTTAAATAGTYATGTATACTTATATGTTATTGTTTAAACCTTGTATTAAATACTATTTTGCATTATAATCCTATGATTAAGGCCATTTTTCTTATCTTTAACAATAAAATGTTGAAAACGTTGTACTTCACAATCTGAAACACCAAACACATAACAAAATTAATATCTAAATTGGTATTGAGGACGCCACATCCGCATGTGTTGTCTCCGTCTTACRAACGTATAATATGGCAAATTTGCGTTCAGTATTGTGCTATTAGTTTTCATTTTACAGTAAATTCAAAAATTGACCTTGACCAATTATCAAATTTAAAGTTAAGAATATTATCTGTCTTTTCATGTCAGTTTTTTTGATAGTTTATGAGCTATCTTTAGTTTATGAACTATCTTTAACTTTAAATTGGATAATAAATCAATTTACTGTAAAATGAAAACGGGTGTAACTTAAAAGCATTTCCTCAGTACTTACCTTTCAAAATAATCAATGATTGCAATTCTTACTGGATTGTTATTTTGATTAAAATTATTATTTGGGTTTTCTAGATYAAAATTATCATTTACTTCTTCTGAAGCTTGCATTAATTGCTGAATACCTTCTTAAAATTCTAATTCTTCTTCATTGAAATCACGTGCTATATTATGTAATACAGCACAAGCCACAATAATTCCTTGTGTTAAYTCTAGAGATGATTTTATCCCAAGTGAAATAATAGGAAATCGTCTTTTTAACACACCAAAAAGTCTTTCAACTGTATTTCTTGTCCTAATCAGTGATTCATTGTACAATTGTTCTCCTTCAGTTCTAGGTTCATTTAAAATTGTCATCATATAATTGCTTACTCCATACCCACTATCTCCAAGCAATAATGCGTCTCCAAACATATTGTCTTCAAATTGGGCTCTGATTCGGGAGTTCGAAAATATGTTACTGTCGTGTGCTGAGCCCGGCCATCGAGCAACTATATTTTTAATTTTTAGATCAGCTCCAGCTACAATTTGTACGTTGATAGAAAAGTATCCTTTTCTGTTTCGAAAAATTTCTGCATTATCTCCCCCTGGAGATAAAACTTTTACATGTGTGCAGTCAATTACACCAATAACTCTGAGAAATTTAGCGATTGAAAAAAAATTAAGTTTAGCTTGATTAATTTCTTCTTGGGTAGAAGGCATGCGTATAATATCTTTCCTCATCTTAGCTATCTCATGAGTAACTCTGGGTATAATTCTTCCAGCAGTTGCCGTGCTAACACCCACAAAATCTCCTACTGCTTGATAAATTGTCCCCRATGCATAAAATCTTAGTGTCAAGAGTACTTGATTTTCAGGTGATACCGCATTATTCCTGAAATACCAATTGCAATGTACAAGTTCAAAGCATCGACACAATTTTTTCTATTAAAATCATAATGAATATTTACCGATCTGTTCGATGTGCAATTTTGTCTCGGATTTGGTCTATAATGTGAACCACTGCATTTTTGGATAATCGAAATCGTTTTTTAAACTCCTCRTTATTCATAGTAAGTAAATAATTGCGTCTTTCTTTAAATACACGTGGGCGTCTAACTTGGGGTTCAAACTCATTGTCAGAACTATCAGTTGAAGTAATAAGGTCAACAATATTTTGAATTTCCATATTAATTAAAAGAAAGTTTGTAGGTAAACGAATATACACAACACAACACAAAATGTGAAAAAAAAAAGTGATTACCTATAAAAAACTTATTACAATAGTGATAATAATAATTAACCATGTAGTTTGCAATTAAACGGCAGGAACAACTAGCTGTTAAAATAACCTGGAGGATTAGACAAAAAACCCATAGGTTACTTTTAAAAATTGTTTGGTAAGAAACATATATTCTAAACCTATAGGTTTATTGTACATTAACCTAAGGGTTTATTTTAACCGTGAGATTGTAAGAACGGCCCTTAAACAATTAAGAGGATGTCAGCGTAGTACTTGTTATCTCTATCTGACCCACGCGCAACTTAGCAAATTTTACGTTCACAATAATGATTATAAACAATTTAATTTCTCAGTCAGTGAAATGACTTCATATAAAATGCAAAACTAAGATTATTATCTAGGAAATCTCATTGGGATTTTATTATATTTTAATTTTAAACGGAGTTATGAGTTTGTTCTCCGTAGGTCAGAGAATGAAAACCAATAGTGCGCTTGAGTTATATAACATTAACATTAGTTAAGAAATAGTCTATAATATTCTATAATTAATTAAATTTAGTTCAAATCGCTACAAGTAGCAGTACAAGTATAACTGCACGAAACAGCAGCCCGAAACTCTAAACTACGAGCATACTAGGGCTCAAAATGGTTTCCGTGGACGCGGACGGGCACGTGGGCGGCCACCGATCATATGCCACTCRTGCAGGGCCTTTGGCCACACACGGCAGTACTGTCCCAATAATTGTAAGTATTTAGATATATAATTMAAAATTATTATTATTTTACATTATGTATACTTCAATGACCCTTTGTAAACCGCAATAGTTTAAGCATGATAATAATGCATGATGTAGCAGGCGCATGTACGACAACGACATACCAGTCGTATGGTGGATCCAGGGTTTAATTTTTTTT